AAAAAAAAATTATTTAGATATTGTTGCAATGAATTAGCAAATCAAACTTCGCTAATAATAAAGCATTGATTAAAAGAAAATCGTATTGTTTTTAACATAACTATGAAATCTTATTTTATTATTAAACAAGTAGTTACAACAGAATGTGCTTTTTGAAAATACAGTGAATGTATAAAAACTGTAGATGCAATTCCACGCCGCAAGACAGAGCATCTTCCAAATTAAATTCATTCATGGTTTTCAGATATTGAGAATCTTCTTAAATCAAATTCACTTCACGGTTTTGGGTATTGCAATCTCCACGCCACAAGTATTGTTTCTTCCAAATTAAATTCACTTTACAGTTTTGGGTATTGTGAATCTGGCAGTAGGCGATTAGTTAAAATAAAATCCGAAAAACATGTGGGTTAATCCTTACAAGATCATTCTTACATATTTATATGTACGAATTCTCTTACCACATCTGCAGTTCTTCTCATTAACAACTACAATCAACTATTCTTCTATCAGTCCATATCCAGTTACTTGACCAAAGTGAATTACAAAAGAATCGAATGGTATGATTATTTCTAAGCCTTGCCTAAAGAATCGAATAGCATGATTATTCCAGGCCTTGTCTAAAGAATCAGCATGATTGTTTTCAAGCTTACCTAAAGAATCAAATGCCATGATTATTTCTAAGCCTTGCTTAAATATATCAATCATGCAACCAGTTCGTATAATTATGCAGGATCGAATGGCATAATAATTAAATTAATCATCCCAGGAACTAAATAGATGAAGCGTGCATTTAAACTAACTAATTTAATATAAGAAGCATAATTCTGCGGTTGAATGGCATCTAAATAAGTCGAATACTGGAATATGTATTCAAAACGGCACGATAACTAAATAAGTTGAACATACATTCAAAGCCATAATAATTAAATTAAGTGTGCATTTAAAGCTAACTAATTTAATACAAGAAGCATAATTCTGCGGTTGAATGGCATCTAAATAAGTCGAATATGTATTCAAAACGGCATGATAATTAAATAAGTTGAACATGCATTCAAAGCCAACCGATTCGATGCAAGAAAATAATTTCACAGGTCAAATAGTTTAGATATTCATAAGCCTGCCCAAGTAAGTCTAATATGTGCTCAAAGCCAATCGGATCAATGCAAGAAGCATTGTTGTATAATTAAACTGTATTGTTATTGAGAAGGCGTACTTGTAATAATTAGATCATAAAAAAAAAAATATAGATATTTTAAAAAATGTATTTAAACTATGCTTTTTGACTTGAATAAAGCTTCAGAATTCGATTCTGAAATCTAAATAAATATTTTCACTTTTATATATTTGACTTTAAACCTTACTGCTATTGAATATTTATTAGTTAAATCGTCCTCACCCTCGATCACATATTATAAATACATAATAATTGACAAATCCGACTTATAATCCTTACACTACTTTGCACATTTAAATCGTCTCCTATACAGTACTATAACTTTAATAAAAAAATGGAATCTCAATCTAGTTTAAGTTTTCAAAAAACTGTATATTCTGATGAAAGCAATAGTAATAGTGATAATAATAATAACAATAATATAACTCCCTCTACAAACGCGTTGGCTAGTAATAAAAAAAAAAGGAGTAAAAGAAATAAATCAAGTTTTGTGTGGAAGTATTTTAAAGAAATCGGAACAGAAGATGTGTGTCAAGTTATAATTAAAAAAAATGGTGTAGACAAAAAGTGCGAAGCGAAGTATATTCACAATAATTCAACACAAATATGATCGCTCACCTACGATCTCATAATATCGTGGATAGCAAAAAGTTAAAACCCGAAACCCCACAAAAACGACAAGCTACATTACCAGCGATGATCAAATCTAATACTAATACTCCGCATAAAGGTGAAAGACGAAAAGAAATAGTCAAAGGAGTTATTGAATGGATTCTTCTGGATAATGAACCTTTATCAGCACCAAGAAAAAAGGGATTTCGTCGTATGATGGCAATAATTGATCCAAAGTTTCGTCTGCCTTCTAATAAGCTAATAAAAAATGAAATATTATTAAATTACCTAAAAAATATAGATGCTCTTAAACAAAAAATTACATCATCTTGTGAGACTGCTGCATTAACAGCAGATTTATGGACCTCGCGTAATAACCAAGGTTATATTGGGGTCACTTGTCACTGGATAACTCCTAATTGGTCTCTCCAGAGCGTGTTATTATGTTGTGAAAAAATATCATACCCACATACCGCTGAGTCCATTCATCAATTTCTTATTAACAAATGCACAGAATTTAATCTTGAAAATAAGATTGTGTATGCTGTTAATGATAATGGTTCCAACATGATAAAAGCTATTAGGTTGTGGAATACCGTTTTCCGACTCCCGTGCGCTGCGCACACCTTACAATTAACAGTTAATTTTGCTCTGCAAAAAATTCGCTCACAAACAAAAAAAATAAAAAAATTAGTTCATTTTTTTGATTCACCAAAGCAACAAGAAAGATTAGAGAAAGCGCAAATAAGGGTAATGGAAAGGGATACATTACCGTCTTCTAGCTCAGTTCATGCTGAAGCTTATACTGAAGTTTACCTTGATGATGAAGAGGTTGGTGAAATTGATGATGGAAGTAATACAGAATCAGAAAAACAATTAAATGTAAATACTACTTCTAAGCCCCTTCGTCCAATTAAAGACTGTCCTACACGGTGGAATTCTAAATATCGGTCTTGGGAAAGATTGTTGAAATTGAAAGATGCAATTATATGGCTAGAGGTAAATTTGAACATTTCACGAAACTCAGATGACAGAAAAGATGGGCAAAAACTTAAACGATACTTGCCTGATGAAAATGAATGGAAATTAATCGAAGAATTAGTTAAAACTTTTGAAAAATTTGATTATGCAACAGAAGCATTTAGTGCTGAAAAGTACTCTACGTTATCAGTCGTATATCCCATCATTGAACTCCTGAAATTCGAATTCGCAGTAGATCCAAATCTGCCCTTAGTCGATGATGATTATGATCTAAATGATGAATATGGTATGTACTTTTTTTTTTGTAAAATAAGAATGAAAAATAAATAAATAAATGCAAATAATAATAATAATAATAATAATAAAAAACAACAAAAAAAAAAAGAAAATTGTATTAGTTTATAAAATATTAATATTAGTTTTTATCTTCAGAATCAAATATAGACAGTGGTAGCGAAGATGAAGGTAGTGAAGACGAAGAGGATTATACTCAAGATACCCTTAACATCCAATTAACAATTGCTCAAGTTAAGCGGGCAATTTACAATTCACTTTGGAAATATTGGAGAACTTCAATGTTCACTGGCCTTATAACAACTTTACTAGATCCAAGGCTCAAGAAAATGCGCCCTTGGTCTGAAGAACTACGGAAAGAAACAATTAGAATATGCCGTGAAGAATATAACAATATTATTGACGAAACACCCACACAATCAACACATTCCAACGTAACTTCAACTAATCGTTACTTCACTTCAATATTTGATGATAAGGATAATAATGATGATAATTCATCTGCTAATGAATTAGATAAATATTTAGACATGTCTATTGCCACAAAAACCAAGTCACCCTTAGACTGGTGGAAAGAACGAGAAAAAGACTTTTCAAATTTGAGCAAATTGGCAAAAAAATATTTATCTATACCAGCTACTTCAGTGCCAAGTGAACGACTATTTTCTGATGCGGGGAACCAAGTAACTCCTAAACGGACACGTCTTAATCCAGAAACCATTTCACAAATACTGTTTTTAAAAAGAAATGACGATATAATTAGTATTACATAACTTTTTTATATTTTTATAATCTTACTCTGATATAGATCTTTCTATTTGTATTTCGTATAACTACAATAAAAAATTTTTTATAACTTACAAAGATCGCTATTATGAATTAAAATGGGTTATAAAAGAACCTGGTAACTTCTTTATAAATGTAATATTTAAGATCGTAACGTTTCACTAAAAAAAAAGTACTTATTAATTAGTAAAAGTTTGAAAATAGTATGAAACCATTAAACTTCATAACACAAAAGATTTTAAAAGCCAATACGAATATTTCATTATTCTTGTACTGTACGTAGATTTTAAATGCTAAAATCAAATGATCAAGTTCAAAGATCCGAGAAAGTTTGAAGATCTTGTTTAGCACGTCTTAAAATCATGATCTTAATACCTATAAACTAAAAAGTAAAATCTTTGAGTAAATGAATATACGTAACAAACACGATCTAAAGGTCGTAATACT